TTTGTTGACATCTCGCTCAACTGCACCCACGCTTAATAATCAAGGAGATTAAAGTCTTGTGAGTTAGGCGTCCAGATGTAAAATAGACGATGGTCGCAGAAATTGGCTGACAGACATGACTGGTTTTTCCTGCTTGTGTGGCATGGTGCAGAATCTTGTCGCCAGACATATAAACTTCCAGCAGCCACCTTCGTGAACCAGCACAGCAGTACTTTCTCAAGGCACTTGATGTAGGACGCCGTGCTGAATCTGAAGCCCTGTGGGAAAATGTATGGAAGCATAACTTTACCATTGCTCGTGATCACTCCAAACACCTTTGTAATCACCATTAGACTCATCCAATCTCTTTCCGAATCTACTGCACTCTCCTCAAATTTGAAGACAACCACTCTGAATTGTATGTACTGGATTCTCCGAGGTGAATGCCAAGAAGTACAATATGCCGTTTCCTAATTTTTGGCGTAGTGAATTACACCACGGTGCTCTGTTTTTTTCATAGGGTGTGTCCAGTTGAACCCACTATACTGTGAAGTCAAAAATACATAACGCGTATGAGCGATATCAACATCAGAGACGAACTGAAGGCAATGACAGTATTCGTTAACTTAAACAAGGAGACTATCCAGAAAAGTTGCAGGAGATTCCGAAGTCATCTGGAGGCTGTGGTTGAAGCCAATGGCTATTTTATTGAATAGATATTTTAGTGTAATTCTAGTAAAACCTGCACGACTTCATCCGAAACATACTAGTAGAAAATACAAGTATAATAAACTTATCCAAATGTAAAAAAAAAGTAATAAATAATGATAGAAGCCTTAATAATAGAAAATAAAAGGCTAACACTCAATAATTTTAGCTACGAACACGGGGAACACAAGAAGAACACAAGAAAAAACAAATAAAAAGCTTAGTTGCAGTACCTTCTCTGTCGTCTTTAATGAAACATTTATAAATAAACGATATATATATATATATATATATATATATATATATATATATATATATATAAATGCCCTTCGGTTTTTGTTCCCCCAATCCATCTCACTCCCCCTACCCTTTTTCTCTTTTTTTACCTTTTTTTTCTATTCTTTTCCTCTCCCTCTCTCATCTTCTGATCTTTAAGATTATATCGTCTATTGTGTGTGTATGCCACCACAAAATGTATCTTTTCCGGTATATCTTTAATGCATTAGATATCCGAGAATATTCATATTTCTCTCACTTAAACCGTCTTTGACTCCCCTCTTTAAAACTTCTCTTTGTTAAATTTTCATCCCCCCTTCATCTTTAGACCTTCCTGTTTTTCTCTCGCCTGTTACCCCTCTGTATAGCTTTCATTTACTCTAATATTCGTCCAACACTCTCATACATACACTCTCACTAAATTTTAATTTTTATTCCCGGAGTTGTTTTTCTCTGTTTTATTTTTGAATTTGTAGGTCTGATGAATTGGATCGTATTTACGATTCCAATGGAATAAATTATGACCATGGAGTATTAGTGTTTAAGCCTTTTTATTATATCCTTACTCTGTCCCGGACATTGAGTTCTACCTGGATTCTATCCTCTTGGATTTATTTTTTATACAAATATATATGTATGTGTATGTATGTATATACATTTAGATATTTTAGATATATGTTTACATATATCTATGTGTATATTTACGACTAATGTTATATATATATATATATATATATATATATATATATATATATATATATATATATATATATATATATATAAGGATCTGGATTAATATCGATGTATAGATATCAGTATATATTCCATTTGTGTAACAAAATTTAGCAGAAGCTTCTATTATTATCAATATTTTACCTTAGCGGTATCGTTTTTCTCCATCTTGCAGACAGATTCAAACAGATTTCGTAAGAACGTTATGAATCGATTTTTCTCAATCTTTACTTTGCCTTCGGGGAAAATCAAACGCATTATTCGACTAAAAGATCAGAATGAAAAGTTGAATTTATTCAATTGGAATTATTATTCATTGGATGTGGTTTCGTCGGACAATATTGAGTTTGACAAAGTTAATAACAAAATAGTTCCACTTTATTCAATAATAACAGCAATAAGTGATATCTTCAGGGACTGCGTTTAAGAATAAATTAAAGATTTCAGGGCCCTGCAAACTTGTGTGTGTAGAAAGTGCAAAGCATAATACCTTGGAGGTGTTACTCGGAGAGCAGAGATACAGTATACAAATATGCACACGTTCTCTTGGGAAAGGTACGATTCCAATTCTTCTCCCAGTTATATTTAGCTGTCCCCCACCACATGGGGTAGCATGTGGCACAAGGCCGAGTTTAATGTGGGTAATCCGAGCCCGTAGGCCTGGTCAAAAATATAACGGGTTCTAGGCGGGTTCGAGAGCTGTCAACCTCCCCGAACGAAACCTTGCCCTTCGGCAAAGCTTCGTCCGGGTTCCACCCTGCTAATGCAGAGAGTTAGACAGACGGCGGTTGCTGTAAGTTTAATACAGCTTCTCCCAGCTACGGGCTAATTAGTAAGACGTATATTTCGAAATTATTATCTAAAAAAAAAAAAAAAAATACAAACTTAAATATTTAAATATCTAAAAATAATCTCTGGCTTTAAGTAACCTGCTAAAGGTGGATAAGCCCTAAAAATAGATCAGTTTAGTTGCCAGGATATTTGCGTTAGACCTGATTAGACGTTCTTTAATATAAACAAAAGGATAAAAATTTCTATCTTTTTCTACACGTTTGACGATTGTGGAAAATGAAATCAGTTTACAGAGTTCTAATTCTGTCCTCGGGTACTCCGCTCGTCATCGGTCTAATGACTGAAATTGGTGGCGGTTTCGCTGAACATCTGGCCATTTTACTCATCTAGGTGGAAAGCTGGAGATGTATTCATTAATGTTTAACGTGTCTTGGGAAAGTACACCTGGCGGAGGCTATGCCTCTCTAGGTCAAGAAACAACCAATTTCCTCGAACTTGAAAACTCGCTTTGGTCACGGAGACGTGTCCGTTGATTTTATTGAGGAACCATCCGACAGCTGTAGGTGACAGAATTGGGTCATATGATAGCAGTAGAACGCATATAATCACGCTTATGATGTGAATGTGCGAAATGCACCTGTCCCATTAATTTTGGGACAAATACTCTTGGAAAAGACAAAAATCCATCTACTTCCTTGGTCAAATAGTAAGGTAGACGGGAATAGACTAAAGTTTTGATGCACGTCAGTGTAAAAAAGACTTCTCTGATTATAAGAGCGAAAAGGCAGCGACAAGATATGATTCTACAGATAATAAAACATATAGTCTGTTTAAAGTTGTTATGGCTTACGTTTTGAAATGAAATCAGTTAGTCGAGAATATGAAAGAGACATTATGTAACAACATAAAAAAACAAATGAACACACACACACACACACACACACACACACATATATATATATATATATATATATATATATATATATATATATATATATATGCAACGGCATTTAAGCATCAAACATAATGGGTGTTGACATCAATATCTACTTTTAAAATTGCATATGCTCTATCCTTGAGATTGGCCACTTTAACCCCTAAATATAGCATAACAAAACTATATATATATAAAACACATTATTCTACATTCAACACCAACGCTTGATAAGACACCAGAAGTGTTGAAACAAAATGGCTATTACTGTAGTGATTTTATAACATATTTATGTTATAATTTTAATATATATATATATATATATATATATATATATATATATATATATATATATATTCGGGCATGTTTCATTGAATATTTTAGAGAAGTTCTGACTATATGTTTTCAGTTGTATCCTTTCATATTCACGGAGATGTTTGGTATCATTATTGAAGGAATAGAGAATATTGTCTTGATAAATATTATATTCCGTGTACTTTCAACATAACACAATGTCATCATCTGGGTGTTGTTTATTGCAGGACAAATATTGTAATGATCCTTGCCGTATTCAACTGAAAGTTGAATTTTTAATTGTGAAGAACACTAAGTCAATGCGTGATCGCTTATCAGCGCTCCAGGGGCGGTAATTAAGTATGTTTTGTGGAAGATCTTAACGTAACATAATATATTAGTGCAAACTTTGATATTTTAAACTATCTATTATACATATTTTAAAAGAATTGTGTAGTATTCGTAATGAAATTCGTTAAGGTTTGGATTTCATTTTTAATATAGATAGCTTCGAGAATTTTTTGTTTATGCTTATGATTTTCATGAACATTTTCAACAAGAATTTTTCTGAATTGCGAATGTGGACTGGTACCTGTTACAAATGTTCAGAAATATTGGATATATCATTCAAATGAAAGGTGATCCGCTGAGACAACGTTGTCGTAGTGTGTCTAACATAAATAACATTTTTACCGTTGGAAATGCAATCTCCTAGACGGCATTTATAGACAATGTTGGTTTTCTACAGCACGTTATTGATTGGGGAGTCATTACGAATGAGTGAATTCGATATACTCGGTATAGTGTAGCATATAATTAATTTTATTCTTATAGTAGGATCTATTAGCTTTTATTAATTTTTTAGGTTATTTTTGTTTTGTTTATAGTTCGAAAGTATTTGGTTCGATATAAAAGATTGATATGCTTAGGATTAGTTGAAACAGTATTATATTCTATTTCCTTAGTATAACAATTTCTGACAGAGCATATTATTTGTTCATGAACAATAAAATTAGAGAAGTTATTTTTCATAAAAGTTTGTTTTTTTTTTTTTTTTTTGTTCGCTGTTTTGTGGTTAAATTAATTTTTGTATGATGAATAAAATATTTTTCCTGTACAATGACGATAGTGGTCAGAATATATTATAATATGCTCCACTTCTGAGTGCGTTTGCCCACTAAACCTCTGTAAGGATATATATATATATATATATATATATATATATATATATATATATATATATATATATTATGTATGTATGTATATATATAAATATATATACATATTAAAATACAGAGAAATAGATGAAGAAATAGGTAGAGATAGAGAGATAGATAGAGATAGATATACAGGCTGATGGATGGAGAATTGATTGAGAGAGATTGATAGTGAGAGATAGAGAGATTGAAGTAGAGAAAGAGATTGATGGAGATTGATAGAGAGACATAGATAGATAGATAGATATCGAGAGAGGTAGAGACTGATGCGGATTGATCGAGAGACATAGATAGATAGATAGATAGATAGATAGATAGATAGAGAGATAGATAGATATCGAGAGAGGTAGAGACTGGTAGAGAGGCATCGAGATTGATAGAGAATGGGATAGATATTGAGAGAGACAGATAGAGAGAGATTGATAGTAAGAGAGATATTGATAGAGAGATTGAGATTGATAGATACTGATAGAGAGATTTGAGATTGATAGCGAGATAGAGAGAGATCGACATAGATAGATAGATAGATAGATAGATAGATAGATAGATAGAGAGATAGATATTGCCCGGGGATGCGTTTGTGTGAACTCAAAGCCGGAATAATATCAGTAATATTCATAGACATTATTTCATTTAATATATGAAATATTTTTATTTTATTTTATAACGAATGGTTTAACTTTATTTATCTCAGACCCGCCAGAATGAATAAATGAAGTCATTGAAGACGTTCTTAAAGATGAAGAATTCTCGCAGAGAAATCAAATTTAAAATTACAATTCATGATTTAGCTTTCAATATTCTGATCAATGTAAAGTCTTCATGGAAAGCACAGAAGGTTAATTATGATTTCAAAACGCTTGCCGTTACGCATGCTCCTCTGATTGGTCAGACATATGCAGTAATCAGATGTTGAGAGCTAAGTGTAAAGCAGTATGCAATCAAGTTCCATTATGTAATATATATGAAAGAAGTAACGTCATATTTTCTTGTCATTCAAGCCAGCGTTTAAGCCCATTAACTGAAACATTGTCTGGAAACTCTGTGATTTTTCCTCCGAAAATAGGAATCTACGCCAAGTTTCAATAAGTAGTAAAACACCCTAGTAGTGACACTGGTCCTTGAGGTTAACAGCTTTTTCACAAACAATTCCCTTTCTCATTACTCTCAGGAATTTCTTAGCGCAGGAGAGACATTGGTCTCAGAGGTTAACAGACCAGAGGCAGAAACAGCTCCATTCACGTAAGATTATCCACCAGCTCTTTGTCCGCTGTGAAAAGGTAATACTAATACACATCTGTTATTCTCAAATTTATTGGGTTGGCCAAAAAGTTAGTTCACTTATTAAATAGAAAAGTTACTAAATAACCCAAATGAACTTTTTGGATTGCCTAATAGTTAGCCGGTGTACACAGGAAATAGAAAAGAAAATCAGAAATATTACTTTATAATCGTCCAACACTAGAAAATTAGTAAATATGGTAATATAAAGCATATATGCTAATGGCAATGTCAGCCGTTTCCTTATGAGGAAATATTGATTAACTATTGTCGGTTAAAATTTATGAAATATTTCTGTTAAAATATTTCTTTCAGGAAAAAAGCTTTCTCATATCCAGTATGTGTTATCGCTCTTTCTAGTATTGACAGGGGTTTCTTCCTAGCCTCATGTTTGGAGTAGTATGGAAAGTCTACATGTTGGTTAACCCATTTTTCTTCGATATATATATATATATATATATATATATATATATATATATATATATTCATGAATTATTCACACAAAAAACAAAAGCAAAGGTTAATGATTTAATTGGCGAGAAATCCATCATCGCAAAACAATTCAAATAATATACAAAAACCTCCGAATCCGTTATGAATGAATTGATCCTTGTTTCCATAAATTTCTGCCGTATATATATATATATATATATATATATATATATATATATATATATATATATATATATATATATATATATGCTCTCCGTTCTAGTAGTTTCTGCAGTTGAAAGACCTCATATGATGTGGTTTGTTATTTGCTACTGTTTTTTTTGTGCTCCTCTAGCATCAAAAGACTTCCTTTCAAAAAATACATCTGGTCCTGCTATATATTTAGAGATCCTTGATAAAATCCTGAGAATCTGCAATATTATTGGTTCTGACCTGGCAACTCTGCCCCAGTTTCTTTTTTCTAAGATAACTTCTCTGTGCCTTTCCTGTAAATATTTTCATGATAATTGTTCCGATGAACTTTCCGTTATAGTACCTAGACTTGAAGTTAAACGCAGTATTAGATGGGCGGCAAGGTCTCGTTATTTTACAGGTGAAATGGCTAGATGCAACAGTAAAGTCTATGCTGACAGTTTCTTCGATCGCACTTCTTCCGTGTGGAACTCTCTTCCGGCCTCTGGCATCCCGGTTTACTTTGTTCTGCAAATTTAAATGTGGGTAATATTTTCAAATGCCCCTTAAGGAATTGTGTTCCTGATCAATCATAACTCATGAATAGTTACATCGGTCACACGACTACATGCCTATCCAGACACATTACGTTATATCTATCCAAACACAGCTCCATCAGGACCCATTTAAACACACACACAAACTCACCAATTTTCATCCGAAACATACTAGTGGAAAATACAAACATAATAAACTCATTCAAATGTAAAAAAAAGGATTACAAATAATGGAAGCCTTAATAATAAAAAGAAAAGCCAACATTCAATAATATTATCAACGAACACGGCCACAATATGTTAACTGTGTTCAGAAAATAAAGCGTACCTATAACTTTAGAAATATACACACAATCTATGCGTCCAGTTAAAAAGTAAAAAAATAAACTCATCCTTGATAAGTATAGACGAATCTGCTCGGAGTTATAAAATATTTGGACAGTTTCTACATACACCGTGTCCACAAAAGAAAACACTTAATCGGACGCAAAAAAAATTTAATAAAAAGCTTAATCGCAGTACATTGTTTATCATCTTTAATGAAACATGTATAAATTAGGGATTGGGATATATATATATATATATATATATATATATATATATATATATATATATGTGTGTGTGTGTGTGTGTGTGTGTGTGTGTGTGTGTGTGTGTGTGTGTGTGTTCAATTCAAAATAATTTTCTCCTTTAAATAACATAAAACATCTTGATGAGCCGTAAAGCCATAGAAAATAATTAAGGGAGACTGCATGGACTAGAGGATGTAAAGGAAATTTTAAATGTAGCTATAATAAGGCAATATGCCATCAGTAGAAACAAACCAAGCTATAGACTTCGAATCGTTGATGCAAAAACAAACAAATAATTTGGTTGGTTGATATTCTTTAGAGACATATCAACCTCTATAGCTTATTTAATGCCGAAATCTTGAGAGGTACTTCCACGCCCCTGAAAAACTCCAATTTTTTTTATCAGAGGCTTTGCTGCCGAATGTAGTTTAATGTCAAAACGAAGGACTCAAGCAGGTAGGTAACTTTAACTACCTAGGTTGTGTGGTAAACTTCAATGGAAAATGTAACTGCAAACTGCAGTGTAAACTAAAGCAGTAGGAAAATTTTGTTTCCAGAACTGCTGTGTCATATCTTTCTAGTAACAATTTATCACTATAATATCGGGATAAATCTTTATAGATAAATCACGAAGCAACAGATGCTTTTCTCCAGATGGATGCTAAGAATGGTATGGATGAAAGATGTGAGTAATGAGGAAGTTTTAAGTAAAATGAGAACTAAAAAGAGTTTCAATCAGCTGACCGTTGAAATTTCCTGGGTGAATAAAGAGAGATAAGAGAAGACTTCAAAAATTTTAGTACTCACAAGAATAATGAAATAGAGCGAGTGTAGCGAAAAACAACGTGTAAACTATATAGGGTGTGATACAATGGATGGAAAACAGAACAGATGAAATATGGTCAATATTTCAAAGTTACAGTAGTTACACAAGTTTGGGCACTATTTACATTGTTCGGATTATCGTCCTCATCTTTTTTATCACAACGTTTCGGCCGGTGATTTTAATGTCGAACTGCACCCTTTATTTCAGTATGTCAGTTATCAGTTATCTCCTGTTAATTCCCCTCTCCAAGTTCTCCTCCGTCTTGACCAGGTATTGAACTAACACACTTTGGGTCCTGTCACTGGATCTAACTAACACCTTTATCCATTGTGCCAGGAGATTTCTGATAACTGATCTCCATTACACATGGTACAGTGGATAAAGTTGTTGGTTAGATCCAGTGACATCACCCAAAGAGTTGAGAGTTCAATACCTGTTTAAGGCAGTGGAGAACTTGCAGAGGTCAATAACTAATAACTGACATCCATTAGACATGGCAGGTCGAACTAGAACAGACTACCCCAGCGAGCGAAATAAAGGGTTTAGTTTGACATTCCCACCACCTGAAGAAGGTCGGAGCCTACAGCGGCCGAAACGTTGTGATAAATAGGTAAAAAAGATGAGCACGATAGTCCGAACAATGTAAATAGTGTACATAATACCTCATCTCAGAAATATAGAGAGATACAAGTTTGGATGTTGGGGAAAATCATATTCGCTTAAGTTATAAAAAAATATTGGCTAAATGAAAGCTGTTTGATTTCATGTCCGTGGTTTAGGAGCATTGTAAATCACCATGGATCGTGAATTTAAATTATTCCATTTGAAAAGGGTGAGTCATGTGTCATCGAAGTCTGTTTTCTGGGTGATTCAGTTGAATCTCGTCTCAGTTAATTGAGCTGATTTGAGATAAAAATCATTGAAGCGAGCTCAAAAGTTGATCCTGAAAGTGATTATCTTGAAATGGCCGCTTCACGGCGAGGCGCAGGTGTGAAAGTTAACCCGGAGATGCGATCAAATCAGAACTCTCTCTGAACTGATGAAATGAGTTTGTAGGTGTGTGGTGGGAGTGAATGGTAGGGACAGATATGGGGGGGGGGAGACAGACAAAAACAAGAACAAAGTAGACGAATTGTTAAGGCAAAAAGAAAGAAAAATGGAGGTGAGAAAAGTATAGACAGGAGCTGAGGTATTGAGAAAAGAGGAAA